TAAAACCAAATTAAAGGAAAAACCACCAAAGTTCAAAAATTAAAATTAAAAGTGCAAAAATAAATATTTTGTGATTTTTCAATTCATATAAAATAACTAATTTACTACTTAATTCAAGAGTGCAATGTTAAATCCTAAATGCAAATGCAACATATTTTATATTTTCATTAATTAAATAGAATAAACATGCACAGACAATTGCAAACAATTAACAGAAAATGCCACAAAAATCCGCAAAATTGCAAACAATGGAAAAAAATATTTTATTTTGAATTTGTAGGAATAATTCATATAGGGCAAAAATCACGTGCTCACACATATAACTATGCAGGGGGATCTACCGGAATCCCACATCTGTAGTCCCAAATGTAATAGACAAGGGGGGAGCTACCGGAATCCCACATCCGTAGTCCCAATGTAAATACACAACAACAACAGGAAAATATTCAGAAATGTCAAATTTCATATTAAGGCAAACAAGTAATTCTAGCCTAGCATGCTGCATAGAATTCAGGTAAACCAGTTTAAGCAAATAAAGCAATTAAATCACTTAGACATGCTTTCCTAAGCTAACAACAGGCGTAATAGTGCAAGTAATAAAAACAGGAAAGGAAACATACTAGTAATTACTTAATGAAAATCAGATTTCCAAAAATTAGCACAAGTACGCACTCGACACCTCATGTACAAGGCATTTCAATTATCAATAATACCAAATCCTAAGGGGAAGGTCCCCCACACACCTCGAACCAGCTCAAATCAATCCGAAACCACGCTCTTGCCACGAGTACTCGACTCCTAATGGCCCAAATCTATTCAATTCAATTTCATAATGTAAATAACACTTCAAGTACTGATTCTACACAGAAATTCTAAGCTAATACGCGAAATTAGGTAAAATGACTAAAATGTCCCCGGGCCCACATCTCGGAATCGGGTAAAATTTATATTTTTAGAATCTTCACACTCTCACGAGTTCGGTCATACCAAAGGTATCAAAATCGGACCTCAAATAGTCCCTCAAATCATCACTCAAAGGTCTCTAATTAGTCAAGCTCTAACCCCAATTTACCACTGATTTTCCTTAATTTTTCATGCTTAAAATGATAAAAATCATTCTAATAACGAGTTTAGGGACCAAAGACCTTACCCCAATGAACTCCTCTGAAAATCCCTCTTGAAAATGCTCCACAAGGCTTCTTCCCGTTTGAAAAGAGGTGAAAATGACTAAAATTCACGAAGGCAAGAATTTATATGTTTCTATCCAGCTAATCCACTTCTGCGGTCCCGCTTTTGCAGACAACCTGTCGCATCAATGACAATCAGTAACTCAGCCTTCTCTACACCTGTGATTCCCCATTCGCAGATGCGGTACCACTTCTGCGGTAAATCTCCTGCATCTGTAGATCCTACTGCTCCTGCCCAATTTCGCTTCTGCGATGACAATGCCGCTTCTGCGGCTATGCACCTGCGGGACCCAACTGCAAGTGCGGTTATGACAGAAGATCAGCAGCTTCAACTGCTCAAACAACTCCCAATCCTTCCGACAACCTTCCGAAATCATCCCGAGGCCCCCGGGACCTCAACCAAAAACACAAACAAGTCTAATACCACTGTCCAAACTTATACCAATCCTTAAAACAACTAAAACAACATCGAAACGACGAATCACCCACGGATTCAAGCCTAAGAACTCCAAAACTCTAAAAATACACTTTCGATCAAAACGTCTATCAAACCTCGTCCGAATGACCTGAAATATTTCGCACACATCACATTCAACACTACGGAGCTACTCCAACTTCCGGAATTCCATTTCGACCCTCGGATCAAAATCTCACTATCGAACCGGAAACTTCAAAATTCGACTTCCGGCATTTCAAGCCTAAATTAGCTATGGACCTCCAAGACACAATCCAAACATGCTCCTAAACCCGAAATCACCCAATGGAGCTAACAGAACCATCGAAATTCCATTCTGAGGCCATCTTCACACTGTTCCGACCACGGTCAAATTTCCAACACTTAAGCTCTCATTTAGGGACTAAGTGTCCCAAAACTCTCCGAAACTCAAAACCGAACATCCCAGCAATTCAAAATAGTAGAAATAAACACGGAAAAAGCAGTTAATAGAGGATCGGAGTGTTAATTCTTAAGACGACCGGTCAGGTCGTCACATCTGGTCATACAAATCAGGAGCTTCTAAGATTTAAATTTTACAAAACTGGTATGAAATAAAGTACATAATATGTTTGAAATATACATGAATAGATTAAATTTCTAAGGCTGCCAAGATCAAGAGGCAGCCATGAACGAAATGCAGACACATCTTCAAATCCAGCTCCCGCCGTATACAGCAACATCAACATCCAACATCTGCATGCAATGTGCAAAAGTTTAGTATGAGTACAAGCGACCCCATGTGCTCAATAAGTAACAAACCTAACCTTAAGTTGAAAGTAGTGACGATTTGGAACAAAGTCAGAGTCCAACACCAATAGCCAACAATAATTCATAACAACATAATAAAAGTGCTAAAAGAAGTAATTCAGAGATAAAATGTCAGCTCATTTACAATACCGAAAAAATAGGCATGCTTTTCAAGTATATTAGTGAAAATCCAAATATTTTATCGAAATCACCAAAAAAATATGAGTAAGTTTGTAAAATTGTGATTTTTCTCAAAGCTTTCATGAGGTAAATGTTTCATTTTCAAATGGCATGAGGAAAATACATCTCTATGCCTACATGTCAATGTGTATGTGAAGTCATGAATGACGCAATACCGTACAACATGAGGAAAATGCATCTCTATGCATGTATGTCAAGTGTGCATGTCGAATGCAATGCAACTTAGTGATAAAATCATATGCATACTCTCATAGTATCAATTCACTCAGTCCTCAGAGTCACTCAACACTCGCTCTCGGCACTCACACTCGCACTCAGTAGGTACCTGCGCTCACGATGGATGTGTAGACTCCGTGGGGACAATTCCAGCCCAAACGCTATAATAATCCAATCATAGCATGAATCAATAAAGTCTGTTGCGACATACAACTCGATTTTATAAACATCCTCACAATAAGGGCCTTGGCCTTACTCAATCATTAATAATATCTCGGGCTCACCATATCATAAAAATTAGCCTAAAATGATGATATGATGTATCAATAAATAGCAACAGAGACTGGGTTATGATATGCCAATGAATGAGTATGACTGCGTATGTAACTACAATTTAAGCAAATAACTCAGCAACACATATAATCCCAGTGGGTCCCAACAAAAAAAGCATATAGCCTAAACATGGTTTCTAACTTGGATCACAGCTCAATTACTCTAGCACGTAGAGATTTCATGGATACAAATAACATTAGGTAATTACACAGTACCACAGAAATAATCGAGTCACAATTCACACGGTGCACACCCACAGGCCCGTCACCTAGCATGTGTGTCACCTAAACGCCAACACATAACACGTGTACTCAGGGGTTCATACCCTCAGCACCAAGTTTAGATCCCACTAGCTCGATATTGAGACCATAAGCTTGGTCTTATTTTTATCTCCTTCAAGTCTAGTCGAGCTTCTAAGTTGTTTTTAGATTTTTTTACCAAGACCCAATAGTGTATAAATTAAGTTATCACACACATTTTTTCTATGTGCATCACATCAAGATTATGGCGCACTAAGTTAGACTCCCAATAAGGAAGATCGAAAAAAATTCTCCTCTTTTTCCATGTATTTTTCATCACCCCACTTACCCCTTCACTCCACTAGCCGAAAGTAAACTTTTTATCTTTAATTTAATTCAGCACCAGTGACCCATATACTGGACAAGGTGCAGATCTTGTTTTTTAGTCCCATCAAACGATTTAGCATCATTCCGATATTTACGTCTCAACTTCAAGAAGAGTCGATGCTCCATGTAACACAACTTTTTGCCATGTCTGAGCCTTCTAGATTGAGTGTTTATGTTGCAAGAAGGGAATGCAAACCAACCATAAGTGCACCATCCAGAGAGAGTACCATATGCTGGAAAATCATTTATAGTCCACATGAGAGCTGCTCGCATTTGAAATATCATATTAGCAGAGGCATCATAAGTTTCTACCCCGACATCCCATAATTCATTTAACTCTTCTATTAAAAGTTGCAAAAAGACATCAGTATTATTGCCAAGCGCTTTCGGTCCAGGAATAAGTAAGGACAGAATGAAGAACTCTTGCTTCATGCACATCCATGGTGGAAGATTATATGACATTAAAATAACTGGCCATGTACTATGAATAGTTCGCATTGTACCAAATGGATTAAACCCATCAGAAGCTAATCCTATGCGTATATTGCGAGGATCTCTAGCAAATTCCGGATATTTACTATCAAAACTCTTCCAAGCTTCAGAATCTGCAGGATGTCTTAGAACTCCATCTTTGTTGCGCTCTTCATGATGCCATCGCATTGCTTTAGATGTTTCTGAAGACATAAACAATCTTTGCAGCCTTTGCTTTAAAGGAAAATACCTTAGGACCTTGGCTGGAATTTTTTTAACATTATCTTTCCATCTAGAAGCCCCACAAATTTTGCACTCATTGACATCCTTACTAGCAAACACTTTCCTAAAAAGCATGCAATCGTTCAGACAAGAATGTATCTTTTCATATTTTAAGCCCAAGCTTTCAACTATCTTTTTGGTCTCACAGAAAGAAGGAGGCAATGTTTCCCCTTCAGGCAACATATCCTTCAATAGTCCAAGCAAAGCATTAAAAGATTTATTTGAACATGCATTTTGTACGATAGATATGCAGCAAAAAGGACAGTTTGCTAAACTTCTTGCATCCAGGATATAGTTCTTCATTAGCCCCCTTCATGAGCCGTTCAAACTTATCCACCTCGGGATGAGGTTGATTTCTAGATGGATGAGCAGTATTTTCTTGTAGGTTTGGTTCCATCTGACCTGTTTCACTAACATCAGTCTCCATGAATTGTGTAAAGCCTCTAAAGACATCATGTATCATTCCTCTCATATCATCGCCCTTTAAAGTTGATTGGCTGCGATTATTTACTTGAATATTATTTGATGCCTTTAGAGACTCCCCATGACAAAGTCAAGTATCATATGAAGGCATAATACCATTAACCACAAGATGATCATATGTTGTAGCCCGATTTACTTGATGGATAAGGACACGTTCCACACAAGGACATAAAATTTTCTCTCCATCTTGTTTTTCAGAAAAGGCGTGGTTTAAAAAATCTTCTACCCCATTCAAGTATTCTTTACTAACTCTGTCACAATACATCCATCTCTTATTTTTAGGAATGCCCATGACATTCAAAATATTCTTTTCTTTTCCGCAATTATTATAAGAGCTAAAAATACATTAGTAAAAAGAGGAGAAATTCTTAGTGAATTAAGAAACGAGGAAGAAGAAGACAAGATAATAGATAATCGAGGTTGATCTCGAAAGCGAACAAACCAAATAGTTCATATCCACTTAAATCCACAATTCAAATAGAATTACTTTATGCTTAAATTAACAGAATTTTCTTTAAGTATAGTCTCCTACAAATAACTTTTAACAATCGAAAGTAAATATATAACATTAGGGAAAACAAAGAAATCAATTTAATCAGTTGCCCGCCAATTTAACAACATCCAATCACAAATCACAACATAGCTGACACAAAAAATTATCACACAAACTGCCATAGTAAGACATTACACATCGGCTTAGGCTCAAGAGTTAGGGTACCTGGTAAGCAAAATACTTTGATGATGAAGATAAAAAAGTGAAGGAGAAGAACAATTTCAGCAACAATCTCGAAACCTACATAAAAAGAAAAGATTGAGAGTTAAAAAATAGCGATGTCTCGATAACTTTAAAGCAACAGTAAACAAAATTAGACATTTGACTGATTTCCTCCTTGTATGCTTAAATCTTTACCTTATCAAAAAAAATATGCTCAAACTTATTGTCTACAAGCATTTCCTTCAAACAGTAAAGCTAAAGCAAACATATTATTTTAGTAAAATACAATATTTTTGTGTTCAAACATTGCTAAATTTAAAGGTAGGATCATTCCTTATACATAAATATATGAAATGTCTAATAATAAGACTTAGCAATATATCTCAGAGAGGTTTCTAACTTGTAATAACTGAATCTAAATGTTTAAGCAATTGCAACCCAGTTTCTCGGCACAAAAATGCTAAGAGCTACATAAAAAGCACATCAGATGTGCTAATGTGTAGTTTAAACTTTAAAGTGAATAAATAGTTGAAAACTTCGCATATCAAACAGAAAACAGGGACTATCAAGAACGGGAAAATTCCTTGATATATGTCCCTAATCCATATTAAGCATCACTCGGATGATTTCAACAAATCGAAAAGAAATCAAACTACATATGTGAAAAGAAAACTCTTTTAATTGAATTTAAATAAAGTTTTGAAATCTATTCAACAGAACTTGAACATGAAACATAATAATTTTTTTATTAAGCTAATAGGAAATAAAAATCCTAAGGACAACTTAATAATACAAGAGTGAAACATTTTTCTGATCAATTTAAATCAAGAAGTAAACAACATATGCAACACCGAAAATTTTATATCATTATGTTGCTAGAGTTTTATAATTTAAATCTACCGTGAGCTCACATCAACAACAACGATCCAGTGCAATTCCACTAGTGAGGTTCGGGGAGAGTAGTATGTACGCAGATCTTACCCCTACCCCGAGGGGATAGAAAGGCTGTTTCCGATAGACTTTTGGCTCAAGAAAACGCAAAGATAACAAAAAAAGATAATATATTAGTACCAACAATAAAAACTAAACTTTTATAAGCCAAGCATACATAATCGTAGCTTATCTGGATAGATTAATTAAACTTAATCTCATAGAGCATCTTGGTGTTAATTCCTCATCAACCACTTCAATTCAGTACAACCTCTTCCTTCTTTGAGTGTCCAACTTTTATCTCTTAACAAGTTCCCAATGACATTCATAACTCTAAAAGTAAAGGCGAATATTGGTAAATAACCTCACATAAATTGAGGCGGAGGGGGTAATTTTTTATTTTTATATTTGAACAAGTCGAGCAAGACATATTTTCTCAACAACAACAACAACAACAACGAACCCAGTGTATTCCATAAATGGGGTCTGGGGAGGGTAGTGTGTACGCAGACCTTATCCATATCTCATAAAGATAGAAAGGCTGTTTCTGATAGACCCTCGGCTCAGCTCAAATGCAACTGAATTAGATAAACGGAAGTATTTATAGAAGCAATGTTTGGAGAAGCAAGCACAGAAAACATATTAAATCTGTTGCTCATAAAAATAATGCACAAATATTCCTTAAGTAAAGAAAGAGATAAATGTACTACTGTGAGAAAAGGACAGAATATGTTCATATGTTTAGACATTAATTGAGTCACTCTAAGAAACAAGAAGAAGATGGTAAGTTCTCATCAATAAATCGGAGAATATTAACTTACATCATTTTTGTCAAATGGCATTAAAAATGAGTCTCTAACACTTAAACCAGCAACAACTATCATAATTGGATCCAGGCAGTTGAATACTGCACCTAATATTATCATTTTTCCCAGTTTTGGTTCAACTGGAAGCATTGATAAGTGTTGTCCAAGTACTGTCAGATTTTCATTCTCATCTAGAGCCCCTATTGTCTTCAGAAACTCAACATATTTTCTCAACAATTGTCTCAAAAACAAAATAGAAACTATAAAAGGAGGATACTAAACATATACTTTACAATTCATTGGTAAAAATCTCAAAAACTGAATATTTTAATCACCTCAACCTCTCAAAATTTCCATCAAACACATTCAAAATAGAGGGAAAAAACAGAAAAGAATCCACTTTTAACGGATCATGAGAAAAAAGCAACCCCACAAAAAGAAACAGAACATTTTCACAAGCTTCTTGAAAACCCAAGCTGCAAAGACACATATATTGCAACCAGGTAAGAATTTTAGCTAAAAACACTCTCGTGATTATAACTTTTACACTAATCACTGAAAAAGTTCTCAATATGGGCAAAACATCTTTATGAACTTATATCTTACAGATTAACAAAACTTAGGCGAGAATTCCTCTCTGATCAGTAGGATAAAAAACTTTATTTTTAACGCGATTTGTTGATCAGTGTTGATAGCATTCAACAGGTACGTTTTTTACAAATGCTTATATCTTTATCCAATTACTTGATAAGTGCACACAAGAGAATGTACATATGTTTACTATAAATCCTAATGCTTCAATTCATTAAAGCTTTTGTGCGTTCACATATCATTCACCTAAATGCTATCTTTAAAAAATTACCCAACAATAAGATAGAAATTTCTCAACTACAAAGGTCAAACTTTTAGCTCACCAACTACACCACATAAAAGCAATGGCAAACTATTACTTTAAGTTCTTTCTAAGAGCAGCAAATTTTACTTCACCAAATATTGTGGGACATTAAATGAGTTCCATTAATAGAGGTAAAGCTAGGATTTGAAGTTTATGAGTTTTGGATTTGCCATGGAACCCATAGTCCCTCTTTGTTATTGGTTCACAGTTAAATATTCATATATATTTAATGAATTACCTTATACAAATGCACCGTCTAAGCAAAAGTGACTGGATTCGGCCGAACCCGCACCTAATAGGCGCGCTCCACTCCTTATTCCACAACTTTTGGAACCAACAGATGCACTATGCAGATATTAGCAGAGAACTACCTAACATTCAATTTCATGAAATTACAGAAGCATAACGCTCTGGTTCAGATGGTCCTCCAATTACAAGGAATATCAAGAGTTTGAAAAATCACGTTTTGGGCAGTTTTGATACAGTCAAAACTCAAGCATGAAGGAGAAATTAGATTCTTGAATCTAGAAAATTAAACAAACCACCAATACCAAATTGGAAAAGATACTAAGAAAATTCTCATTCAAGAATTAATCTTCGGCAATCAAAACTCTACACCCAGAAATTAGAAATTTTCATCAACTCATAGACCTACCCAACTAAAAACCTAAAGATAAATAGAGATACTTACCAAGAATTTTGATGGTGGCCAGAAATTTGGTTGCCGATGGAGATTTAGAAAGCAAAGTGATGGTGGCCGAAAATTTGATTTAGAGAGCAAAGTGATGGTGGCAATATGAATTGTTTTCTTTAATCTAATTTCTAGGTATGACAGGGTATAGCATTTTTGCGGGAGAGAATTTAGAGGAAAATTAGAATATGGAGGGAATACCAAAAGTAAAAAATAAAACTTTACTGTCTATATTCTTGAATCGCCACTAAAACTATAATATTTACCGATTAATATCCATTGGCCACTAATATTTGCCTTCTGCGAATAAATTAGCGGCAATTAATCTATTGCCGCTAAAGCCCCTTTTTGTTGTAGTGTGCTCCCAGTTGGGTGCAGTCACCAGTCTCTTTTTCAGCTCTTCAAAGGTCAACCTGCAATCATCAGAAAATACAAAGGGCTGGTCTTTTCAAGCAGCATACATAAGGGGTTAGAAATCTTGGAAAAATCCTTAATGAACCGCCTATAGAACCCTGCATGCCCCAGAAAACTTCTCACTGCTTTTACCGAAGTGGGTGGCGGCAGCTTCTCAATCACATCAACCTTGGCTTGGTCAACTTCAATTCCCTTTTTGGACACTCGATTCCCCAACAATATTTCTTCTTGTACCATAAAATGGCACTTCTCCCAATTCAGCACTAGATTTGTCTCCGCACATCTTTTGAGCTCTCTTCTTAGGTTGTGAAGACAATCTTCGAATGAATTCCCTACCACGGAGAAATAATCCATAAACACATCCATAATATCCTCAACCATGTCAGTGAAAATGGCTAACATGCACCGCTGGAATGTAGCCGGTGCATTGCAAAGCCCAAAGTGCATTCTCCGAAAGGCAAAGATGCCATACGGACAAGTGAAGGATGTTTTCTCTCTATCTTCCGGGGATATTGAAATCTGGTTATACCTCGAGTATCCATCCAAGAAATAGAAGTGGGACGTCCCAACTAACCTGTCCAATATCTGGTCAATGAAGGGCAAGGGGAAATGGTCCTTCCAGGTGGCTATGTTCAATTTCTGATAGTCCATGCAAATTTTCCATCTCGTAATTGTACGAGTTGAGATTAACTCATTCTTCTCATTTTGGATTACCGTCATTCCTCCCTTCTTCGGTACACATTGAACAGGACTAACCTAATTGTTGTTAGAGATGGGGAAGATGATACTCGCATCTAACCATTTGATCACTTCCTTCTTCACCACCTCTTTCATATTCGGGTTCAGCCTTCGTTGATGTTCTCTGGAAGGTTTGTGCCCTTCTTCCAGGAGAATTTTGTGCATATAAAAAGCTGGGTTGATACCCTTTATGTCTGTCATGGTCCAACCAATGGCAATTTTACGTTCCTGTAACACCTGTAGGAGTTGCTCTACCTGCACATCTAGCAAACAGATGATATAATAATAGGTAAAGTAGAATTAGGCCCTAACAAAGTGTACCTGAGGTGAGCTGGAAGCGGTTTCAGGTCCTACTGCGGTGGCTCCCCTATCGATGGTTTCGTAGGTGGCATTGTTCTTTCTTCTAAGTGTAAGGGCTCGAACTGGGGTTCCCTTGTCCAGAACCCTTGACCTTCGAGAGCCATGACCCACTCTGCCAACTCCTCACCATCTACATGTTCCAGATTCATCAAGCAAGCTTCTAACGGATCCCTGACATTAATAGTCTCATCCTCCTCTTGTAATATCACATCTACGGCCTCCACTAGTGAGCAATTTACAAATTGGCTGGGTCTCCTCAGAGATTGTTGAATATTGAATATGATTTCTTTATTGTTTAACCTCATTTTCAATTCCCCAGTCTCACAATCAATCAATGCTCTCCCAGTGGCTACAACATCCTGCCAAGAATCATTGGTATCTCATCATCCACTTGACAGTCAAGAATGACGAAGTCTGCAAGGAATACAAATTTCCCCAGTTGAACAAGCACATCATCAAGAATTCCAGTCAGTCTCTTCATTGTGCGATCAGCCAATTGCAGTAACATTGAGGTTGGTCTAGCTCTGTCAATGCCCAGTTTTGTATAGATAGCCAAGGGCATTAAGTTTATACTGGCTCCCAAATCACATAATGCTTTAGCAAAAGCATAACTCCCAATGGTGCATGGGATAGTGAAACTACCTGGATCAGACACCTTTTGAGCCATAGGTCTTATCACAACCGCGCTGCAGGTCTGCGTCAGAGTTACAGTGGACAGGTCCTGGAACTCAAATTTTCTCGACATCAGGTCCTTCATCATTTTTGCATACCCTGGCATTTCCCTCAAAGCATCCATTAGTGGAATATTCAATTGAATTTGCCTGAGCATTTCCATGAATTTCCTGTATTGATCATCTTTCTTTTGCTTTGCCAACCTCTGAGGGAATAGTGCAGGAATCAACCTCTTCCCACTACTTTGCGCCTTTTCTTTGTTGGGAGCTTTTTCTACTACCTATTCTAGGAGTAGTTCACCTTCCTTCTCCTTACCCTTATCAACCTGTGCTTGCTCAATTGCAACCTCGGTGAGCTCTGCCAACACATCGGTCTCTAATGTAACTGGGGTAGCTGGAGTAGTTGGCATTGTCTCTCTCCTGGATTGAGCAACTTCTTGCTCCCTGCCTAAATCTCTCCCATTTCTGAGACTCGCCGGAATGAGCTGATTCGGGTTCTGCTCCTTTGGATTAACATTTGTATCTGCAGGCAATGTTCCTTGTGGGCGATTGTTTAAGGCCATTGATAACTGTCCCAATTTAGTTTTAATGCCTTTGATTTCTAAGTCATGTGCAACTAACTTCTCTTGCATCTTTCCATTTGTCCCAATGAGTTGTTGAAGCATACCCCTGATTTCGATCATGTTACTATCCTGCTGCTGCTGAGGTGGTTGGTAGGTCAAATGTTACTGGTGTTGCTGATTATAGCCATGTTGCCTTTGATAAGGTATGATTTGGCCTTATGGTCGTGCTCCTCCTAGATTGGGGTTGTGATGTGGCTGGTTCGGTATGTACTGTTGGTTTGCTGTTGGTCCCTATTGTTGTCCACCTTGCCTCTGACTTCCAGAATTATTGACATAATTCTTATCTTATGTGAATCTCTGGTTGTCATTCTCTCCATTCCACGAGCACAAATATGGCTGGTTAATGCAAGGAGTGCACAAGCCTCCATTTGTGGTATGTGCACCTGTTTCATACCCATCTCATCTATTTTTTTTGTCAGCAAGCTCATCTGGGTCGTAAGAGTGGCTATGTTTTCTGCATGTGTATTGTTTGGGTCAAGAGCAACAGAATGCACTATTGGAGTGAGTGTTGTGTCTCTCGTCATCCAGCCTAAATTTTGAGACATCTTATCAAGAAGAACTTGCACTCTGTGAAAGTTTTGCTCAAGAATGCACCCCCGGCAGAAGCATCTACATTGGCCTTCAGACGGTCAGCCAAACCCATATAGAATCTCTGTCCTAGCATCTGATCTGGAATGCCATGGTGAGGGAACTTTACCAACATGCCCTTAAAACTCTCCCAAGTCTCTTGCAAAGTCTCAGTTAGTTTCTGGTTGAATTGCAATATCTCATCAATCTTCCTCGCAGTTTTGTTGGGTGGATAAAACTTGTTTAAGAACAGCTTGACCAGTTCCTCCCAAGTAGCAATGGAGTTTATAGGGAGCGAATTCAGACAAGTTTGAGCCTCCCCGGTCACTGAGAATGGGAACAATAATAATTTGATTGCCTCAGGAGTCATATTCGGTTGTCTCTAAGTGACACATATTGATAAGAAGTTCTTCAGATGTTGTTGTGGGTCTTCGATGTATGACCCGGAGAACAACCCTTTATTCTGCAATAGGTGCATCATATTGTTGGTAATCTGGAATGTCTCCGCTTGTATGGGAGGAACCGCAATTGTTGTTGTCAGATTATCAGCAGTTGGTTGCGCCCAATCATAAAGAGCAGCTTCTAGCACAAGAGGTGCTATCACTCTAAAGTTTGCGTCATCTTGAACATTCCTGTTGTCCCTGTTGACGTTGTTTACGTCACTCATTTCAACTTCAATTTGTTCATTTTGTTTACTCTTCCTGTTATCCCGGTTCAATGTCCGGAATGCTTTCTTGGGATCTGAGAGTCCTTCAAAGAGTTCACCAGTTCTCGAAGAGCTTCTAGGCATGCACCTGAGTTACAGAAGAGTTCAACCGTGAGAATTTCAATGTAAATATTTTTAACACCACATAAAATTGATCTAAACTAATAATCCTAGCAATTCTTCAAAGTTCCAATAAATAACACCGTTAGTTCCCCGACAACGGAACCAAAATTTAATCACGCCCAACTACGCCTTATAAAAAGGACTAAGCGGTCGCTGCAAATATATAATCTGATTTAGTCCGGAGTCGAATCCCACAGGGAACTTACCTATTTACTACAACTTTTAACACTGCTAATGAATAGCCCAAACAATCCACGAATGCAAGATTTTTAATAGATAATGAGTAGAATTGAGTTAACTAATGAGAAACAATAATAAAACTAGCAATAATCAAGAATAGAGTTGAATTCAAAGGTAAAATGGTCTAGGGTTATTGATTTCCCCAATTGTCGGATTAATTCCTGACACGTTCGCTATAATCTTGCTATAATACTCTATAAGAATATGAGTTCTGGGTTACCGCAATTATCTCTTGATTAATTAAGATAATTTACTACCAACATTCTCTCGAACTACTCTAGTTGACAATTTATGCAACTCAGAATTATCCCATCAAAGCTTCGGTATCTCTAACCCCGCTTTTAAATTCAAGTAATTAATCTCTTAACTTACCCGAAAATGGTGTTGTTCAACAACAATCTAACCTAGTATTCTTTCTCAAGCAACACAAGGTAACTTGACATGATTAATCAAGGGCCCTTTCAATTAATCACAGGAAAACACATAGTTGAACAATTATAGAATAAGAAACGGCTTAATTATATCAAAACGTAATCAAGATTTCATCCAACAATAGGTTCCATCAACCCTAGACTAAATGTTTAGCTACTCATCGTAAAACAAGATAAAACCATAAAATTATTCATAATTCACAAAATAATGATAACAAGAAGAAGAATGAAAAACTCTAATGGTGTCTTGATCTTCTCACACTTGTTCTTGCCTCCAATTGAGTCTAAAAACAAACTTAACCTTCACTTGGGTGAGTTTGTTGAGTTTATCTAGGGTTAGGATAAGTTTCCC